AACTCTAACAAGCATTTCGATGATCAATGGGTTCCAGAATTTTTAAATAATTTATCTGACTCAACTGAAACCAACGAGGAAAGACTTTTTTAAACTTGCTTGAGGAAAACATTGTACATATATTTTTTAATGAACCATATACTATTTTTGAACTTATCAAATCATTAAAAAGTAGGAAAGATACCACACCAGGACTGGATAATATACCTTATATGTTAATTAAAAAGTTACACCCTAATGCACTTAACATTCTTTTAAACATCTACAATAAACTTTGGGAATATTGCATTATACCAGAATCTTGGAAAACACAATGTGTAATTCCGATTTTAAAGCCAAATAAAACACATGGTATTACTTCCTCTTATAGACCTATATCATTATCATCTTGTTTAGGGAAATTATTTGAAAATATGTTAAAGTTCCGACTAGATTACTTTTCAGAAACCAACAAGTTGATTCCTCCAATCCAACATGGGTTTAGAAAGGGTAAGAGTTGCTCTGAAAGCTTTGTATCATTTGTTCATGATATTAAACAAGTCAAACTCAGTCATTCTAACATGATCTGTGTTTTCTTAGATGTCAAGGGTGCTTTCGACAATGTTAATATTGAAGTTCTTGTACAAGTATTGCACAACAGTAATATACCACTAAAAACAATAAAATGGCTCTATAAGTTTCTAACTAAAAGAACAGTGTATGTGAAATTCAATAATAAATTATATGGTCCCAAGATTGCCAATAAGGGCACAATGCAGGGAGCCACTGTATCTCCTTTATTATATAACTTGTATACTTCAGAAATTTTAAAGTATGTAAATACAGAAAATGTGAATATATTGGAATTTTCTGATGACTTGCTTTTGTACAGTACCAATCAAAATATAAATATTGCACAAAACAACATTAACAATGCCTTAGAGCAGTTACAATACTATTACAACAACAAGCTTAAATTAGATATAAGTTCAGAAAAGAGTTCTGTTTTAATTTTCAGTAAAACTAATTGTGATATAAAAATTTCATACAATAATATAGAGATTCCTATTATCAGTCAACTAAAAATTTTTTAGGAGTCATCATTGATAACCAGCTAAAATTTGACAAACATATTGATCACATTAGTACAAAAGCTTTAAGAGCAGTAACGGTTCTAAGATATTTAGCTGGAACTTTTTGGGGTTCAGATCCTCAGACCATTAGTATGCTGTACAAAAGCATAGTCCGTAGCCATTTTGACTATAGCAGTTTTGCTTATAAGAATGCCAGTAGCACACTGCTTAAGAAGTTAGACATAATTCAAAATATAGGCCTGAGGTTAATCTGTGGAGCAATGAGATCTACTCCTATAAACTCATTAGAAATTGAAACATGTATACCTCCATTGTTCTTGAGACGACTGCAATTAGCTATGAAATTCAATCTTAAGGTTTTATCTTCTAATAATATCCTTACAGAAAAGTTCAATCAAATGTCACAACTTTTACAATCAATGGCAGCCCCAAACATTACTGTCGATTCTCTGCTCAATAATCCTGAAATGATAACAATATTCACTCATGTAAAAAAACAACTGTTACGGAATTCATAACAGTGAAATGTGGCCAATATATACATGCCCATTTAAAAGTTTAATTAATATTGATTCACTTAATTACCATTTGAATAATATTTTTAATAACAACGACTTTTTAGAATTTAAGCACAGCTATATAAATTATTACTTTATTTATACTGATGGTTCTAAAGACAATAATAATGTCAAATCAGCCTATTATGATCCCCAGGCTGGTTACTCTAAATGTATCAAAATTAATGAACACTGTAGTATATTTACAGCAGAAAGCTATGCTATACAGCAAGCTCTAACTTATGTAAATAACCTTGTAAATAATGTAAATATTGTAGTAGTAACCGATTCAAAAAGTGTATTATCTGCCTTAGTTAATGGAATTTCATCTTATAAAACAAGTCATATACTGTGTAATGTAGTTCAATTAATAGAACAACTAAATAGGAAAGGAATAGAAGTACAATTTCTTTGGGTTCCTTCCCACAGTGGCATAGAAGGTAATGAAATAGCAGATAGCCTCACACATATAGAGCAGGATGAAGATCATACCCACATAGTGAACATTTCATTTACAGACTTCTACAGTCACTTTAAAGAAATTTCAAGACAGTTTTGGCAATCCTACTGGCAAAATACATTACAGACGAAAGGCAAATGGTATGCAAACATTAAAAAACACCTACCTACAATGCCATGGTATTCCAGAGTGAAGTACTCTAACAGAAAATTCATTACCACTATTACACGTATGCGCTTTGGACACTGCCTCATGCCAGCACATCTGCACAGAATAAATATTTATAACCACACAAGACGTCTCCACTGTAATCAAGAAAATGCAGATCTTCAGCACATTATATTCAACTGTCCCAGTTTCCACATTCAACGGCTCATCTTCATCAATGACATCAGTGACATCTGTGAGCAAAGTCAAAACAGTTTCCCCCGCCACGTTCAGGAATTACTAAACAATTCAGACTTTTATAAACCACTGTTTAAATTAATAGAAAATACTGTACAGAGTTTAAGGAATACATTGTAACTATTTTTGTAAGTGTAAATATTTCTGTTTTAATTGATTTGTACTGCTTAGATTGTAATTACATTAAAATATAACTTTATTATTATTAGCATTTACACCAAAATTTGAAAAACTAATGTTATTTTTTGTAATTTTAAGTAATGCAATTCTTGCTCTCCTTTGAAGGACACTTATCTACTTAAGTTTTAATTTAAAAATATTTTGTAACCCACAATGTATTCGACTGAAGGACTCTGTATCCAGGTCATGAATAAATAAATTAAAAAAAAAAACCGAAAACATAGTTTTGACGTTCAGCGGTGCAGACCCCCAGGCCTTCCATTGTTCGAGGTCGAGTTCTGCAATATACGCGGACTCCACTCTAACCTCAACGCTGTCCACCACCATCTTGAGACAGCACGGCCAGCGTTGTTGTTCGTGACGGAGACATAAATACTTTCGCCTGCTGACACAGGCTACCTTTTCTATCCCGGCTACGTGCTTGAAGAGTCCTTCAAAGCGAAAGCCGGTGTATGCCTGAAGATCCCTCCTTCTCACACGTCAACTCTGGTCAGAGTAGAGTTATCGGTATGGGATGCGATGTTGAGAAAACTCGACTTTTTGAACACCTTAGTTGGGCAGCAGAAGACGCTCAGAAACAATTTTCTTGTGGGACTTTAATGCTCACCATAGTTTGTGTTTAAGTGCCTCCAAAACCGATCATGCAGGGATCTCTGCTAACGCATTCGTACTCACGCATGACTTGAAGAAAGTGGTTGATCAGCCCACTAGGATTCGAGATACTGCAAGATTACCTTCTTTGCTAGACTTCCAGCTTACGACTCATCCACAGGGTTATCAGGTTGTGGTAAGAGCCCTACTGGGCTCGTCGGATCACTGATATCTGCCAAAGCGCCACAGGCCAAGCCTCCATCAGGCAGGAACCTATCCAGGGCCATGTGATTCTATCTAGAGGGTCCACTCTAGCTAGATTTATAAAAGTAGTGGTAATACTTGGCTTGTTCAATGTACCTCATAAATTTATTAACAAGATTCAAGGTATCACAACTGTTTTAAAAGAAATTACGATTAATCGCCTCATTCATTCATTCTCTCGGCTCTATTACGCTCGGAGTACTTAAAAATAACACTGATCGTAGTGTGTCACAAAGTACCTCTCGATTCACGTATTAACATCATTAATAAAACAGAAGAAAATCAACAAGAAAGTTATTAAGCAGCTTCGATCAACAATTTTATACATAACAGGTCAGCGCGTAAATTCCGTTTCGGTAAATATAGCCTCACTTGAGGCGTGAGAACTTATTTTACATTAGTTCGGTTAATACAGAGCGAAGTAACTCACTGGCCAATGACTGGTAAAAATATTTTATTTTGTGGGTCATAAGGTTGATTTCACATTTTCCTTTTTTCACATTATCGTTTTTTTCCAAGTATCAGATATAATTTGTTTAAATTGTCTTGTTCGTTTTATAAGATAAAGATCGTATGTGCGAAATAACATTTTGTAATCTTATTCTTTTGTGAGATAGTTATTATCAGGGTTGTGTTAAAAAAATAGTCTTAGTGTTTTAAGACATTTGTCTTTTGTTTATTGGGAATCGCTGCTTAAGTTTAAACATACACGTTCAGTTTTTAGCTTTGATTTTGTATAGAATCTGTTATCTGTAGAATTGTTGATCGAAGTAAAGGAGGCCCCACTTTAAACCTACACCTGGGTCGCAAGTCTCGGGAACTGCACAGCGTTTCTCTGTCTGCCTCACGATGGACCTGGGTGCCAGGCCATCAACATAAACGGCGAGTAAATGACGCACCTTCCTTTTGCTGATGATATCGTAATCATGGCATGTAATATCGAACATTTCAACAAACCGCTATGACATTTGGTTGCGTCCAAATTGTCAGTGTTTTGAGGAGAAGCTACTAGAGGGTGCATATATGACGTCCTCCGTGGCCGAGTGGTTTGCACGCTGGGTTTCATGGTGTCACCGACTCGAGAGGTCCCGGGTTCGACTCCCGGTGGGGGCAGATGTTTGTGTGATGAATACGAGCATTTGTACTCCAGTCATGGATGTTTAATTTGTATTTCTACATAAATATACTTATATATGTACAGTATATGTATTCTATCCGTTACCCTAGTATCTCACAACACAAGCCTACAGTGCTTACTTTGGGGCTAGGCTAATTGGTGTGTGTTGGAAATATTTATTATTTATTTATATATATAAATTTCAAAATACACCGTATCTGTCACTGATTAGAGGTACCAACGGAGCCTATTTATCGAGTTTTTTTAATTTTATCATTGTTGCTTCCATTGCAATGTCTGAAGTTCTTTTGTGAATAAGTATTGCATTTTATGTTTTTTGTTTCTTGTTTCAGAGACTGTGCTGCAGTACTACTTATTCGCCATGGTGCTGATGTTAACGTTTGCGATTTACAATCATGCGGTTTAGACAACTTGTCCATTGCTGGCAGAAGACGATCTCCGGACCTGGCTCGCCTTCTCATTAAAGCTGGTCATTGTTTGCCCATGCTTGAAGCAGGTGTTGTTCCTAAGCCTGGTAGTTCGGTCTATTGGCTTTATTGCGCCTCGAAAGAGCCATCAAACCTATCAGATCTATGTAGAATAAAAATTAGGCACACACGTAAACATAGAACTTTATTATCATATATTAATAGTCTACCATTACCAATGAGCTTAAAAAGATTCCTGATGATGGAAAATGAATGTATTTTTAACAGTTAGAATTTGAATATGATGAAATATTCTAAATCATAATTTGTACATATTGAAATAGGATTTGATGTTGTTGATGAATAAAACAAAATTTTAAAAATGTATTATTTATTAGTGATATAATAAACAAAATAGTTTTTCTTACTAAACGTCTTACAAAGATGACACTAATATATATTTAGTGCTGAATACAAAATCCTACATACTAATAATAAAAAATATGACTGGAAAGTTTTTGTAATTTTCTGATATACACTTATTGCCCAAAAGATCCTCATTCTTGATCCCAGTTAGTTGAAATAAAAGAAATATTAATCTACGACGTATTTTATATCCTTTAAAATTTTATGAAAAAGAAAACTTATAAAAAATGGTCGCACTTTTCATGCTCAGCTTTAGTAACATTAATTATAAATAAAAGCTTTGAAATGAAATGTTACTAAGTAGCTGCTGAATAAAAAAAAATGAGCGAGCCTTACAGTAGTCGCGTATGATGTGTAACATTTGAAATCTCACCTTTTATTAGTAAAAAAAAAAAAAGAAATAAAACCTACTACAAAAGGAATAATCCATTTGAACATTATGTTCTAAAATCAAATCAAATAGCGCGCGCTTTCGCGACTTACTGTTACACACTTCCATCCCATTTCACGAAATCACTCCCACAAATTGCAGGAAAGCGAGAGGAAAGATGTTACACATCAAAAAAGAACATATAAAATACATTTCATATTATCAGTGATAGTACATGTCGCGGCAAGTGACTTTAGCGCTGAACAAAACGCGGAGGGGATAGCTGTGCATGCATGGGTACAACTGGACAGCCAATCGGCGCAACGCACGCCCACCCGCGCACCTGGTTTCCCCCAAGACATCTTAATTTTTACTTCTGCGCAATAACGGTCAGCGCTAGAGTTTCGTGGCGCGACTTATAATCTGACTTTTTTAATAATTATGTATTATTGGAAACCAATTTGTAGACAGACCTGCTGAGTGTGGTGTACGAAATATAAATCAGATTTTTTTATATAATATAGCCATAGGTGGGTATTACCATCAATATCTTAATAACACATACACTAAAATAAGAAATATAATGGACAAAGTAGGTTTTGATACTGAAATAAAAGATTAAATGAACTTTGACAATTTATTAGAGTAATATTTTTTAAGACCTCACAAGTGTATAAAATGAATTTGATGGAAAATGTTGCCATATAAGGGCTAAAGATTTTAATATTAATTAAAAAAATCGGAGGTCCTAAACTGAATCAATAAAATTATCATAACTCTATTGCAAATATTTATTTTTAAAATTAATATACATTATGTTAAAGTTTATAGACTTGATTTCAGTACCAAGCTCTAAAGTAAAAAAAAAACTTTTTATTGTAAACATGATATGGATGATTTAACACAGTAAGTACCTATATTGATTGTATTATTATTAACTATAATATCATTACAGTTTTAAAGTTTAGTACTTTTATATTGAGGGAAGACCACCCTTCATTATTAGAGATGATGCTAGTATAGTCTGCTAAAATGCTTGAAATATCAAGTCCCAATAAAAATCACGCTTTGCTAACCCAGCAGCATTGAAGCAGTCATACAAAGCAAATGTCTGATTGGCTTCTAAATTATTCTGAAACAAAATATAACTACTTCTTTTGTAGTTTTTATTTAAGCTTGACAAGTGTTTTGACATGGAAATGCATTTTTATAGAGACCAGAATTTCCTGCTGAATATTATAATAGTTATTATTTACATATCTAGTTAAAAATAAATTTATATAATATAAATGAACAAGCAACATAACATTATAAATCTCTTATTTTTAACAGATAATCCATTATCAATACAGGACTAGGTGGTCCTTAGACAAAATAACCAAAGCAAAAATAATCTGTGTTAACAGATAACAATTATGTTTATGTAATTTATTCATATTATATGGAGGATGTTATAAAAGATAGTTGTCTCAGCCAATAATTACAGACCAATATGTTATGGCAACAATATAATATAATAAATAGGACCATTGAGATTGGTGCATTTGTAACTTGAATTATAATAAAAAAAATATCTGGGACCAGGTAAAATTAATGAAAATTTTAACAAAGGACCACCTAAAGCTACGAAACTAATATATTAAAATCTAAGTAAGCAAGTTAAATTTCTCAATTAAGATATGTATAATAAATTATTACTAATGAATAATAAATAACACCTTCCAGACTCCCAAGTACGTAGGCATTTAAATACTTGAGGTCCTTTAAGGCCTGCTTATATAGAATATCTTACTATGCATAAGATAGAATTTATTTTCCCAAAATATGATTGATCGCACATAAGAGCATGTAGCCAACAATATTAAATACCAAAGATACACCGCGTGCGCTAAAACTGTGTACCAATCAAAAGTGCTTGAACACTACTTAAGCACTACTTGGTTCACAGTCACTTTGGGACCGGACCGCTGAAAAGTCAAAATGCCACGCCAAAATACTTATAGTACTTAAACTGTAATTTTTTGAACAGGTATCTATTCAATGTTTGTTAATTTAACACATTTGAAGCAAACTTTGTTCTAATACTTACTATAAATGATTCAATAGAAAATATTTCTGATATTTAAATTAGACGCAACGAATAGTATATTCGGTAGTATACCGAATATTCGGCGAGGCCCCTGACCGAATAGCCGAATATTAGGCAAAAGTATTCGGCTGGATTTTAGCGCCAAAAACTTGTACAGACGAGATTGTTTCGCGCTCCTTTGTTTTGTTCTAATGTACTCATCGACCGCGCGCCCGCTGTTGTTCTGATCTTTTCTTAAATATTAGTAATATATCACGTCATGACAACCCGTATACATGGTGGTGGTGGTACATGGCAAGGAAATTTGAATTTCCGTGTTTGATTTAGATTGCAGCAAAATATTTGTCGACGCCAGGAAGAAGTGTTTATTCAGAGCGCCTTTTCTCTGAAGCTGGGATGGTCTACGAGAAAAAAAGAAATAAAGTACTTCCTAAAAATGCAGAAAAGTTAGTCTTTCTGCACCATTCCCCTTCTAAATTTTGATTATAAAAATAATTCAAATGCATAGAAAAATTCTTAACTTGTTTAATACCCGGGCATGTTTAACGGTTAATTTACAAACCTAAATCAGTATCAAATACATTAGGAGCGTTTTATTTAGGTTTAGCTCTACCTTAACGGTTTTCCTAAAAAGTGAAATCAAACAGGTTTTGAATCAATTTAGCGGTTTTTAAAGGGTTTCATTTCGCTTTTACTGACGGCATCGCCTTCGACGTTTCAATTCAAATTTATAATGAGTTTATGTCAGTTTCTTTCCAACCACGGAGCGAGTGAGTGAAGTAGTGTGTCAGTACACAACTACAAAATGAATAACTTGACTCACTAGATGCTAGCAAACATGTCAATAAATGCATCAATCTCGGAGCATTTAACAAGTTGTGACTTGATTAGTTCAAAACAATCTTCAAGCGATGCCGACGCGTGCACGTGTTGCTCTGGATTAAACCGCACTCCGAACGAAACCTTTACTAAAAACCGGTATTAATCTTTATTTACCGGTATTTTTGAAACCGGTTACAAGTCCTGTTTAATACAGAAAATGATTAAATTATGTACCTGTTTTATATACCAATGACTACTTAATAAATGATTATAAAGGAAATTAGAACCTTACCCTTCTAAATTTTGATTACCACAATAATTCAAATACATAGAATCCTTCATTTTTCCAATTCAGAAGATGATATTATGTACCTGTGTACCAATGACTACTTAAATGATTATATTATATAACAGAAATGAAAATATGAAAACATACACTATCAATCGATTTTAATTTTTCATTTTACCAATTATTTCTCTATGACAAAATATATTATTTAAGTATTCGGTATTCGGCCGAATATAATAAAAGCAGCCGAATTGGCCGAATACCGAATAGTAACCAAATATTTGTTGCAAGTCTAATTTAAATGCATGGTCGGTTGTATAATCCTCTCTTTTCCTCACGCGGCGTACTTGCTATATTGCTAACAGTGCATCAGAATTGCGCATAGAGTCAAAGAAATAAGGTTTATATTCTTCCACATATAGCAATGTCGTAAAATTTTATGAGCTTGTATTTCGAACTGTCATAACTCTATGACGCATGTGTTTTAATTAAGACCTTATACACTAACATTAAAGGTGACTTTCAATGTTTAAAAATGCCTTACACTGTTTTTGACTATACGATCATCTTATGGAGCTAAGTCGATCGTCCAATGTACATTATGGGCAGGTTTTGGCCACTATTTTGTTTGTGTTGTTATATCTAGGGTACTTAATATTGTTGCATGTAGCAGCCAATCAAAAAAGGGCATTAACTGAATGTATGAAAAGTCCCAAATAAGCATTATCTGTTGTCTACATTAAATATAATAACGACAACTTCACAGTAAAGCTAAATAAATAATGTCTGTAAGGTGTATTTAACTGCTCAATATTCCTAAATATAATAATACAACTTACTGACTTAAAACTGCACAGTTGCCTTTGTTATCTTTAATAAGGCGAAGATTTGGAGAAGCATTGAGTAAAACAGAAATTAAATCATCTCTTTTGTATTCAACAGCCCTGTGGAGGACAGTTTGACCATCAACATCTTGCATATCGATTGAAGCTCCAGATTCGATGAGAAATTTGACTGTGGCTATTTTACCTGAATAAAACACAATTGATAGTTATGCACATTGACAAGAAATTATTATTTTTATTTCAGATTCAAATAGATGAAGTCTTTTACAATGGCTGCCATATTATGTAAACTGTACTTTCTAGGCTTGTGAGTTGATACTTCACACTGGTTCAGTCAGGTTAATTTTGTGACCAAAGCTTTTTTAATTTAAAGACCTTATGAACAAAAAGTTGTGAAATGTCAAGTGTCCTGGGCCCAGAAAGTACATATTTACCCTCAGTTCTTTCTGCATTATTTAGAAAGATTGTACAAAGTAATACTATGCAAATAAAAATTATTTAATTATTATAAATCATACCTCCAGTAACAGCTTTATGCAAAGGAGTAGCCTTACCACTCCTTGTTTGTGCATTGATGCAGGCTCCATTTCGTAACAGAGTCTGGCAAATATCAACATGGCCATTTCTTGCTGCATAGTGCAAAGCAGTATAACCTGAATTATCTTGTGTATTGACTGTTGCCACTCTGTTTTTTGACTTTTCTATCAAGAGTTCAACTCTTTCTTTGTCTCCATTAAAAGCTGAAATTGGTATTTTTTATCAAATCTATACTTCAATCTTAAGATTAAACCATATCTGTGATACTGTTACAAACAAACAACCATTAGTAAAAAAATAAAATACCTGCATACCAGATGCCTCTTTCCCAGTCCATTTCAGATAGTGTTTGTGAAAGAGATTGATTTGACATTGCTGCTGTGCATTGGGCATGATTACATACACTTCTATGATCCATTTTACAATAAAAGCTTGTGCCGTTAAATAACATTCAAATATTAAAACAGTGTAGGACAAGAACATTAAACTTTTGAGTCCAAGCAAATATTGTTAATAATTAAAATTCCTTTTGCATAGTCCATGTGATTTCTGACTCTCCAGTACTGGAAATTATTTTATATCCCAGTTGACTAAGTGAGTTTATGGCAGTAAGCACATTAGCACTGATAGAAAAGCCATTTATAACTGGTTCATACTTTTTGGCAAGACCTTTTACTTCTTCTTCGTCTAAACCAAACACTGAACAATCTGTTGCATGTAATGATCCTTTGATTGCAATGTAAGCAATTCCTCCTATCTTGGCTAAGGGTTCAAAGGTTAAAGTACCTGATGTAAATTTTGGACTACTTTTTGTATCCATATTTAAAAATTCAATCAAAAAAATAAATTTGTCAAAAAACAGAATGATTATTTTAATGAAGTTTAAACCTCATCATCTTTTGCCGGGTGCTGATAGTTTCCGAGGTGCATAGCCTCTTTACTGAAGTTTGTAATGTTGTCCTGCTCAACAATTATAGATGGTTCTGGTTCTGAGAATTCCTTTCTCATAGTCCACATGTACTCATTATAGTCCTGTTTCACAGCTGTTGAACTAGAGGCCACAACCTTGTAACCCAATACCTACAATGTTTATTGATTAAATGGGCATGAGTCACTCATTACACAATTTAAGTATAAATCAAAAGTGGTTAGAGGCACGTAGTCTTACCTCTAACGCACTTAAAATAACACAGGGATGTTGTAGGTAGACAATAGTGGAGTCGTCGCAGTATCCTCCACAGGCAAATCTTTTGAGCTGCTCTATGTCGCCAGCTACATAGAAGCAAGCGTTAGTTTAGAAGAACACAATTACTTTATAAAATTGACTGAATATTAATAATGAGCTGAATTTAATCTTATCTTTCCAATAGGTATAACAAAGCGAATTTACTGTGTAAACAACATTTAGCACTTGCCTTTCAAGCCGGACACTAAAACGCGCCACGGGTTTTTATGCCCATACGATGCAAGATTCCCCCTTATCAAAATGTATGGCATTGATTACGGATGTTTAAAAAACTTCCACGTTCCTGAGTTTTTACGTTTGCTATTTAAATCTCAGATTTTAACAAACAAAATTTTGCTCAATTTTCTTGCGTAGCATCAACTCAATCAGCTTTTTTTTTAAATATTCTCCCTTTTTAGAGAAGGCAAGGGGAACTAAAGCCCATACAGCCTCGTCTTTAGTTTGTTTATTTTATATTGAAGAATAATTATAATGAGCAAGAGCAACAAGACAACACAATACGTCAATATATTTTTAGTAGGTGTGAGCGTTCTAAAGACGAACCGGTTTCAAGGACCGTTTTGTGTTCCGCGACGATAGAACCGTTTTACGTTTCGGATCAAAACAGTCTTCGTCGAACTAGTCCTCGGATTGTCTGCAAGCCAATATGTTCTTTATGAGTAAGCAAATACAGTCTATAATAGAACGCAATGCTAAGAGGCCGTTTCGTTCTATGATAATTAAGCTTTGATTTTACAATAATATAATCTTTATTATCGAACATTTAAAGTCGATTATCGTATAACACTACATTTATTTCGATGTTTAGTCGTCTCGTTCGCAGCAACGAAACGAACGTTAACAAGATTTCATTTAGTTCAGTTTCGTTGCGTTACATTCGTTCGACCGTCGCGTGTCGTTTCGTTGCGTCACCCAGCCGCAACCAAAACCAGTTGCGAACGAGAACCGTTTCGAGGACTAGTTTTCGTTTAAGAGAAAACGGTTGCGTTTCGTCGTCAGAAAATTTGAGAACGACCCACCGCTAATTTTTAGATAACTCTAATGTGAAGACAAAAGAAACTAAGCTCACGCAGCCTCTACCGTTACTCAATTTTCTTACAACAACTCGGTCAGTCTGCAGCTCTGTGTACTGTGTACGGGTACGGCCAGAGTGCACTCAGATTCAGCTTCAGACTCAGTAAACAAGCGCGAGAAATATACAGTGTAGTTTAAGCAGGTTGCCTGCTGCCACTATGACCACCCTGCCTAAACTACACTGTTTATTTCTCACTTCACTCTCACTTCAGACTCAGAAAACAAGCGCGAGAAATAAACAGTGTAGTCGAAGGGTACGGCCAGAGTGCACTCCTGATTCAGATTCAGATTCAGACTCAGAAAACAAAGCGCGAGAAAAAGCAGGCAACCTGCTTAGACTACACTGTTTATTTCTCGCGCTTGTTTTCAGAATCTGAATCTGAATCTGAGTGCACTCTGGCCGCACCCGTACCCTACCTATGGAAATGGCAGTGTTACCAGAAACTCCAGAAAGTCATTTCGCCTTCCCCCCAAATCTTACCCGGAATCCCCCAAAATACAGGTTTTAAAAGAAAAAAAACATAGACCATCTAAGTACGCGCTTAATTTTACTCAGTATAAAGTTTGTGGAGGACGAGGTAAAGTACAACTACATTGAAATAAACCCACACAGCCTTAGTTATTTGTATTGTTACAAACGCCTACAAATATATTTTTTCGCCTACGCACACTAATGACAATCACAAGTAATCGTAACTAGGGAAAGTCCGGTATAGATTTTTTTTTAAATAACAATATCGATAGTTTTTCTTGTTCTCAAAGATTGTATTACGCAAAAATATGCCAACGCACAGTGTTTCGCATAGAACATGGTAGGTGGACAAAATTCATGTTATCAATTCCAAGTATCCATAATTACAAAACGTAAACAACACCCCCAAACCCCAAATTCCGAGAATTGGCTGTTGTCAAATTCCTAATGGATGAGTCATAGAGGTTAGAAGTCAGGTAATGAGTTAAATGCAACGGTTCCGTTAATCTGTTGCAATACTTGCAATTTAGCGACACTTTCGTGCACATCATAAAGTGGCTTATAATAATATTGTGATAGTATTTTTGAAGGATATTAATACCGAGGGTAAGCACTTTTATTTAATATATTATTTAAATATGAATCTTTTGATATGAACTTTTAGTATTTTTTTAAAATAATTTAAATAGCGGCGTAAAATTTTCTATAAAAAAAAACTTTGATTGTTCATAAGATACAGACATTCACCTATATTCTAGTTTTTAGATATATCGTAGTTGTAACTATATTCTTTGTAAAAATACACATACTGTTCAGCACACTTCAGTACAACATGTTTTTTTTTCTTTTTTTTTCCAGAACACGTTTACTCTATTCAAGGGTAGCTTTTATCGAGGAGTGGTTGAAACACACGAAAAATTAATGAAACTCGCGTTTAAACGACTATCTTTCCTTGTTGAGTAGTGCTTGCCTAAGACTTCCGAATCTGATATTTTGCTGTGGATTTTGGACACGATTCTGTCCCATACTGTGGATTATATTTCATTGTATCTACTATCTACGATATTGTGATCAACGATGTGGAATAAAAAATATATAAAAAGTGTTGCATATTTAATTAATATCCCATTAGTACATTATTAGAAATCCTTTTTTATACTTTATTATTGCAGTGGGCATTTTCAAATTGTTAAGTACTTCTTACAGCACAGACATTGTATTTGAACTCAATAACTCTTGTCTGATAATAAGTATTTTGACGCGGTTGGTCAGTACCTACGCCAAAGAAAGAAAGAAAGCCAACTGATCATACATTGTAAAAAACAATTTTTTTTCGTCACTAATCTTCAGGACCGGTATACTTCTATAGTTCCGTTCCACGTATTTTTTATTTTGATATAAAAATACTCTTGGAGATACTTTTATAATTTGTTTTTCCATTACTTGGTAGGACATAACCTCCAAAACTTCAAAGTAGAATATCTATAAATCCAGACTTCCTATAATATAAGAAATAAGATGAATCAAATCAAGAATGTAAACTCTATAATTTAACATGCAATTCATTTATAGACGCAAGAATTTTTTTTAACAAAAAATTGTATGGGAGTTCGCCATTGTCCTTTGTCTGCCCCGAACGACGACATGTAAAAGCATGGGTTGTACGCAGTTTTAGAATCGTCAAGATTCATCAATTTCACCTGTAAATAATGTATTTAAGGGTTCCACAGGCTCTTCTAAAACAGGAATGGCTACTTTGCCCCCAGAGCTACACATTCCCGCTCTTTCCTCATTCCATTTTAATGCCCCACAATGGTGACACACATTTTCCATACGGCAAAATTTAATAAGCTTGTGGCTATTGTAATCCAATGTCAAGTCATATTCAAATCCACATTTTTCAAATAACCCCCAAGCATTTCTGGTAAATGTTTGCCGGCACTCTGCTTGATGCTGAGCGACTGCGAGTCGTCTAGAATTTGTCTCATCTACTGTCTCGGAAGCACGCGGATTAGACATTAGCTGGGCATGATTTAGCCGTCGAGAAGTTTCTTCATCAGGTGTTTCAAAGGCACGCTGAGTGGACATACGCTATGCGTTTTCTTGATGCCAAGTAGCTGCTACTTCAGGTGTCTCTAATGCACGCTGATTAGCCATAAGCTGGGCATGCTCTCGCCGTCGAGAAGTTCCTTCATCAGGAGTTTCAATGGCACGCTGAATGGACAACGTTGTGCGTTTTCTTGACGCCGAGTAGCTGCTTCTTCATGTGTCTCTAATGCAGGCTGATTAGCCATAAACTGGGCATGCTCTCGCCGTCGAGAAGTTGCTTCATAAGGTGTTTGATTGGATCACTGTGTGGCCATAGGCTGTGCGTTTTCTTGACGCGGAAAAGCTGCCTCATCAGTTATCTCTGATGCACGCTGAGAAGCTATGCGGATAGGATTTTCCACACGCCGAGCATCAGCTTGCGCAGAAGTTTCTCCAGTTCTGACTTCTGCCTGACGTGTTGCTTGGTCACGTCTGCGCTGTTCAGTATCATAAGTAGATTCTTGCTGTCTTGCAATTTTCATAGATGTAGCTCTTTGTGAGCTCTGTGAACGATTTGGTTTACAATTGTGAGTCATAATTAGATACACAAAAAAATTATAACAATATCGTTGTCCTAGAAATATGTATGAAATATTAATCTATCAAAATAGCTTTGACATGAATGTCAAAAAATATGTACCTACTTAAACAAAATTCATTTGCATCGATTTTCCCATCAAAATAAGATATTTTCCCGCAGTAAAATGTAGCCTATGTGTTAATCCAGGGTATCAGCTAACTCCACACCAAATTTTATTAAAATCGTTCCAGCCATTTAGACGTGAAGAAGTAACAAACATACACACTCACATACTCACAAACTTTCGCCTTTATAATATTAGTGTGATTAGTGTGATAAGTATAATCATAGTGTACTTATTCGCCACTGATCTCATTTGTATTTTGCGAAATTCAAAATGGAAAAGACATGAAATCAATATCATTACTACCTATAAGATCACTGGCGCGAGCTAACATTTGATATCGTTTTATTTAATCTTTATAATCAGTAACTTCTTGTAATATTGGTTAAATTTAAAATGTTTATTACCTAGATGTGGCACGCATTTGACTATATTAGATTTTTTTCGATAACAAATTGACTTTTCTCGTCACTATTGCAATCGCATGTCTCCAGACCCGAGGCACTCAATGCAAGACAGGACAGCGGAAGTAACCGCATCCGCTTCAGAAGCGATGCGTCTTGCACCACCACCCGTGCGCCAACCCCTACAGCGGAGATTGACATCAAGCATACTTAGATCGGGCCTGACTGAGGAAAGTGAAGGATGTATTGTTGACCAATCCCGCCCCCGCTTCGCCCTAGCCGACAACCTGGCACCGCTCATGCCAAACACCAGTGGCACATACGTGCCCACAACAACGACGACCAAATCATCATCTCCAAACTCCGACTCCGACTCGGAGCTAGACTTCAGCTGCGGGATGGAAGGGATATTCGACCCTCTCCCGCACAGAGCCGACCACACGGCTAGCACCATCTACCTCCCAGTGCACCAACTTGAAGAGAGGGATAGCTCTCAGGCGCGGTCCTACTCACAAGCGGTAAGGACCCCTTTTTTTTTTATTACGCAGGTAAAACATGCTTTAAGAGGCACACCGCCGAACGGACCTCACACCTGGCTTCCGCAAGTCTTACGGGCGCCCCAGTGGCTGTCCACCGAGGACCCCGCAACTCTTACGGGCGCTTTACGGCATAATATCCGCTAAAAAAGTCCTGCGAATACCCTCTAAGCCGCTTAGCGCGAAGCCGCGGGATCCCCGTTTAGGGATTCCTCCGAGTCTCCGCACCTAGCAGCCTCCCGGCCTAGCCGGGGCTCCACGGCAGGGGTCTCCCGGGGTATCACGGGGACCCCGCAGACGTGCGCAGGTAGGCCCGCGCGTGGGGGTTGAGTACGCGGCCTAATGCCCACCGTACCGCCCCCCGTCCGCTGCGGAGGGCTACTTGGGCGTGCCCGTGTAGCTCCCTCCGCCGCCCCCCTCTTTGCAGGACAGAACTACAAGGGGGGGCTGCCGTCACGAGGTCCGTCGGTGACCGGCACAGCCAACGCCATGCCGGTCAGCGAGGGACCCCCCGGGTAGGGTCATGGGATGGGCGCAGCCAGGGCGCGTCGCCGTCCTCTCCTACCCGTCCTCCTTCGGCGGGAGGGAGCGGCCAGAGGATCATCCTCCCGCTCCCTCTCGGCCGCCTCCCATGCCCTGTCACTGCGGAGCATGGCCTCCACCATGCTCCGCAGCGAGAGGGCTCCGCATCCCAGCGCCGCAATCAGCTCACGGCGCTGGTGTCGCCAGGCCGGGCACTCCAATAAGGTGTGCTCGGCCGTGTCGTCCGGGGCGCCGCAATGATGACATTGCGGCGTCTCCTCCCGACGTGCGACACGGTGCAGATAGTGACCGAAGCATCCATGCCCGGTCAAGATCTGCACCATGCGGAACGTGAGGCCGCCGCGCCGGCGACCCAACCATTCCTCCAACACCGGACGAATGGCTTCAATCGTCCGGTGGCCGGCGTTAGCATGGGCGAGTGCCTCATCCCATCGCCGCAAAGCTTCGCTCTGGGCGATGGAACGGACCTGCCTCAGCTCTGCTGGGGCAAGTCTTTCACCCCGCTCCCTGGCCTCGACCCGACCTCGATGCATTTCTGCCATAACCAGCGCATCGAGGTCCCACGGCGTCGCGCCTGCGAGCGGGCAGGCGGCGCCGTGGAAGCGGTAAGGACCCCTGCGTTGTGTCCTCTCTCCTCTCACAGTCCACCATTTCAATCAAGGGACACAACCAAAGGTTACCCACCAATCGTGGTAGAAAAGCTCCCAAATAGGCCAGATCCCACTTTTCACTTCATGAAGATAAAGCATATACTTGGGCACACTCCAAATGCTCGCCCATACGGAACAGGTGGAAGATTTATGCCCAAAAGCGAGGATGAGTTCCACCCAGTCAAAAGATACCTGACCGCAGTATCAAACGATGACCACAACATACACTGGTATTGTTACGCACCCAATACAGACCGCCCTACCATAGTCGCCGTTCAAAGGAAACATTTCTAGGTTTCTTCCCTATATACATATAGCTGGAAAGACTGCGAACTTACTGAAAATATCCTTACGCAGTTAGAGAGTGATAACTTCAACATCCATCCATGTCGGGCACAGGGATATGATAACGCTGCAACCATGGCAGGAGTTTATGGTGGTGTACAAGCAATAATTAAACAATCTAAAGCCTTGTTTGTGCTTTGTGCTAATCATTCGCTAAATCTATATGGGGTGCACTCTTTCGGGAGTGTTAGTTCAAGTGTAACAGTAGAAAGAGTTATGTTCTTCTCGTCATCCACACATCGATGGGAAATATTAATGAAAAGTGTAGGCGTATCGGTCAAAAGACTAGTAGAGACAAGATGGAGTGCTCATCACGATGCTGTTAAATCACTGAAGAAACTTGTATCAACCCTCGAAGACATGTGTGATCCAGCAGCAGCAGAGAAAACGTCGATACAAGAGAAGCAGCATCCACACTCTTACCAGCTTTGTATGACTTCAGTTTTTTATGCTACTTCTCTTTTTGGTGTGAAGTCCTAGAAGAAGTTAATTAGACACAAAAGTATATGCAAAAATCTGAGAAGAATAACAAGCCATTCATAGCTAAACTGCCCACTTTTAGACGGCCATGATAGACGTCGCTATGCCGCACTCGATCCGTCGAATATTTACGCTGACCACTTGGAGACCCAGTTTTCCCCCACCCAATTTCTTACAGCTTATCAAACTCCGATGCCTAGGGAAATGTTTAGCTTGCCTACAGAATCCCCACCGAACGGCTTCCAGATTCAATAGAAGAAAAGCACCAGGACCGGACAAATTACCCCCAGGAGCACTAGCCAAGCTCAAATTATGCCGTCCCAAGGCGCTGTATGGCCGCGTGCGCACAAAATTTAAATGTAACACTCCGTCTATGCCACTTCCCAGAGGCCTGCAAAAGGGCAAAGGTATTCTGATCCCCAAGCCGGTAAGGACATAAGGAAGCCGGGCAGCTATCTCCCCATCACCTTACTAGACCAAAACGCTATACTGTTCGAGCGAATCCTCTTACGCCGCCTGAACCAAATGTTCACACCTCGGCCAGAGCATTTTGGCTTTCACAGCGGTCATTCCACTGAGCTTCAACTCACTCACCTACTTCATTACTTGGCAGAAACCATTCTCAAGGCCATTCAACGGTGACTTATTTCCTACACATAAAGAAGGCCTTTGACCGAGTTTGGCACCCGGGCTTTATATACAAATACAACAAAGAAAACTTCCACCCGGCTATTACAAAATTGTCAGTTTTACCGCATGCTCCCATACATGGCGCCGTGGGTGTCTTTACGGTTTTTTAAAGTTACCTCTGGTGGAAGCAGGGGAGCAAAGGCTGCGGGTCCTCAGATGCGATACTCGATCCTGAGGCCCCGTACAATGCCTGATGGCGGCCATCACTGGGGTTTTAGTGGGTAGGCCTCCCCCTTCTGGGGAGGAGAGCCCCACATAACAATTTAAAGCATTTCCCCAGCGTATCAAAAAAAAGGCCGCTTAATGCAACAAACTTTTTCTAATATGAAAATAACGCGCATTTTCAAATGGCGCCATACTCTTTTTTTTAGTAGTGTAGCGTTTCCAAGGAGGTCCGACCGAAACTTTAAAAAACCGTAAAGACACGCACGGCGCCATTCGGTAAAACTGACACAATTTGTACCAGGCCGGCGCCCCGTACGTGAATAGGGGCCGAATGTAAGTTTTATAAATGCCCACACTTGTCTTCAATGGTAGCTTGGACTGGAGAATCAGCCGCAGGGCTCCTCTGGCACCGCGGCTCTTTGTAATAATTTGGTCGACTTGGACGGCCATGCATAGTGCTTTGTCTACGAGTATATTAACGCCCAAGTATTTGGATAAGTACAGTACAGTAAGGAGTAATTTTACTGTATTTTTATGAGGTCAGGAAAAACACCACAGTCAACACAATCATTAAATATGAAAGCTAGAATAGGAGCTATAGTCTCAAAATATTGTCCCTGTATTGTGACAAATAGACTTGGTCACTTTTTAGGTGTTATTGAGCATAATTTTTCCTTTTATGTAAAAGGGGAGGTTTAAATAAATAAAAAAATGAATTATAAAGAAAAGATATTTATTAAATTCTCTATTCCAAAATATTTAGGTACAACTAAGGTCAGATCAGGTAGGTACTACTCACCTACAGAGAATATTTAAATATTCGGTAATTTATATTTTATGATGCTATGAATAACTTATGCGAACAGCAGCTTCTTTGGATTTAAACTTAAACAAATACATTTTATTATAAAGTATCTTGCACTTAACTCCCCTAACACCGGATACTTAAGTAAAAAAAGTTTAAGTGCATTCGCCCGGATAGCGAAGGATGCGGGTTCGAGTCCCGTCCGCTGCCTGGTCCGCGTGGATTTTTTTCTAGTAAACTTTTCTTTAGATAAAAAAGTTCTTTAATATTAAATAAAATATTACTAGAAAAAAATCTGCTGGCTTCAGGCATCAGACACCTTCCGTTATCCGGGCGGAAATGGTGCAGGTTCGAATTCTGTAAATAACAATGTGTGCTCGACAGTTCGCCAACCACAATTAAATCCTTAAAGATATTTCTAAGAACTATACGAACTAGCTGTCCTGAAATATTTTGTTTTCATTACGATCTACCTAACTTCGAACAGAACTAGTATTATTAATTATAGCAAACATAAATATCTTAATTCTAATCATAATTTATGTATCGTTTATATTTTGGCCATTGTTTAATTCTTATAATATATCAAGTAACACTTACTACTAGTAAATAATATCTAATTTTAAGCAGTAAAATAATTATTAATTAACACAAATGTGTCTGATGTAAATTGTGATGATTGACGAAGTGAACACGTTGAAAATAAATATCAAAATCCTGTCATTTTAACCAAAGATTTAAATCATTAGATATGCTCTCAGCATAGTTTGACCGCACCGAAATCTGTCTACATTCGAATGAGCGAACTCCCATCTCATCATGTCCAGCCTAATAAGTGTTCATCTGAACATAGTGACAGTTTGACGTTGGTGATTAAAATACCGCAGGCATTTTTTGCGAGAAAAGTGAAAATGCACTAACAATACTAGAAATACTAATAAAGCTAATGGTGTAACATTTCATTAGTAAGTTTGTAGATTTCATTAATTATAAAATTTATTTTCTTTCGTTGTCATAAATATTGAAATCGAATCGGACAGCGCATGACAGAGAAAGTGGTTTTGGAAATTATTGCAAGACAAAAAGAGACAACACCGCGCTGTGCGTTTTGACGTTTGACCGCCCATGATGTGATATAAAAAATAGTACTAAATTTGAAAAAACTAATTACTACTTTTCATTCTCATTTTAGCTTAGAATTTTAATTTTATAAAATTATATTATATTATGTATTATTATATTTAGCTAATATAATATAATATAATATAAGACCGGCCTCCGGTAAAAATTTCACGTTTAAGATATTTAATTATATTATCTCTCTCTATCTTTTTTTTATATCTAACTAGATGACCTGGCGAACTTCGTACCGCCCAAAAGTCGATGAATGTAAACTCAACTAAATTAATGATTTTACAGCCGCAATAAAACAAATACAAAAAGTTTAATAGTTTGTAAGGATAATATAGAAAAAATGAAATTTCAATAACTTATAGATGTTTGCCAGGGTTGCCATGAAATTAATTAATGAGCTTGATAAAGCATTTTTTTTTCAAAATTTAAGAAGCAATTGTAATCCTATTAAGTTATACTAAATATATTAATAAAATATTATAATAAATTTAATATATTTAGCATGAAAAATTTATTTACATTTTTTTTCATGCTAAACATATTAATTTTATTTGCCTAATAACTATTCTCTAAACACAGACAACTCTTAATCTCTCAGCACCCTACGACTTCTTGGAAAATTAGGAATAGTTCTACATTTTTGGAAACTTAAACCAAATGGATTAAAATTTATGTTATAATGAAATGAAAACTGCGATATTGATACTTCAGTACAGTGTTGAAGTTATATCCAGCGTCTCCTTACCAAAATATCGGCAAGTATTGCAACTTGTCTCATGATTAGAGTATTTTCTTTAAATTACAATATCACTCTCTATAGTGATCATCTTCTATCTATATTGCAGTAACAGATTCGCAGTAGGTACAAATAAGCTTTGTGCTTTTGTGACGTGAGCCGTCAATTGTAAGAGAAGGCGGAATACTAAACCTAAATATGATGAAAATTGTATTTGTTATAAGTTGAATTTTTAAGCATGTAATTGCTTGATGTTTAAATCTCAAGAAAATATAAAATGGGACTCGAACCCGCACCCTTCGCAATCCGGGCGAATGCATTGACCAATTATGCTACCGCGGCCCTAACGGCCGCGTCGAAGTTCTTCTAGCCATTCTTATATCACAGCTGCAAGGCAGCGCCATCTCTTCGCATTGTAGGTAACCCACAATGTCAAATTTCTTTCTTTATTGACTTTTCGCATTCTTTTCAGGATGCGTCGTCTGAATTATGTTTTTATTTACTTTGTCGAGCTACCATCGAAATCCTTTTATTGAGCGTTCGGGTATTTCATTGGAAGATTTTAAAAACTTTATTGATTCTGTATGATTTTTTGAGCTAATTTAATTAATAAAGTACTTTATTTAATTCTTTTTTATAATTTTGAGTTTATTTATTACCATAAACCACATATATAAATAAATCAGCGCATCTATACCGTTTATTTAATGAAAATTGTTTTTCTGCATTACCTTTTTCCGTGATTTTTCCTATATTTTAATAGTTATTCTGCTATCATTATTATACTCACGATCGGTCCAGCCATTCTTGAGTTATAAGTGTTCTAACTAACACTTTGTTTTATATATAGATTATCCTAGTAAATATTAACTTTTTTGGATTTGTCTTATTTTGCTTGTAAAATCCTAAATTTAATTAAGCTGAATATTAAAGATAGCCACATTTATCGACTTATAAAGGCGGTACGCAGTTCGCGGGGTCAGCTAGTTATAATATGCAATGTACTTATTTACCACATAACTAGGCATTTGTATTTTTCGAGATTGGAAATGTATGATAAATAGATAAAATCGATCGACGCACAGAGGAGCTTACGTAGACATTTATATTTTTCATCTTATTCAATCCTTTTGAAAAATACTGTTTGAAAAATATAGATACACTAGCTGACCCAGCGAACTTCGTTTCTGTGCCAGGGCCATATCAAAAGATTCAAGTCTTTGATTTTAACTAAGTCAAACCTGTTCGATACAAAGAAAATACTTAGGGCATACTGAAAGTATTCTGATTCTGATAAAAAAAGGCTAGAAAAAAGATGAGACTTACGATACATTTATTGTTTTTCAAAATATATCACCGTACCTATTAATGCATTTTAGCATTAGCTGAAAAATCATTGTTACAATTTTCGAAAGGACGCCACAGTGAAAAAACACGTCATTTGCTTTATCACTGTTTTGATTTATCATCCGTCCTTTCGAAAAAGTAAGCCTCGCAAATTAAAAAATAACATGTTCCTAACAAGTTCCATTTTCGGTTTACAATAATTGTTTTTTCATTCTTTTATTGTTAATGGCCAGATCCAGAAACTTTCACAATGCCCCACGAGAAAACCTTTGAACGTAAATGATGGTCGTATCACGTTAAAATTTTGTGTATGTATGTATGATATGTCATACATTGGCGGAATAGGCAGGATGTGCACGCAAGACCCAGCGCAGGAGTAGTAGCGTGACACAGGCGATAACGAAGAAGGACACCATCACGCGAAGTGTTTTTTCTGAGTTCTGATCCCTCTCGCTTGCACGAAGCCTTTCTATGAGACCGTTCTGGAAAGAAAATAAATTAATATTACTAAAAATATTAATGGGAATCACGACTTGATGTAATCTGAGTGATGAGTATGTAGATGGACGAAGAGGAGAATAATAAAGGATAAGATAAATTTTATGACTTCGGCCTCCTTAGCTTTAAAGGTCAATGTTATATTTAAAAACGTAATTCAGCGACTGTGAGTCGCCATGCATTTTAGGATGAAGCAAGCTTTATGACTGATTACTATCTCGATTAGTGCCATAAGATATATTTAACTGGATGAAACTCAAGGACTCTTAAGCGTGTGACCAACGGATGAAATCGCAGACGGCTTTAATGGATAGGGTACCTAGTCGTTATCTACAGGCCAGAGCGCTACGCTCGATTTTCCAAATAAAGGAAAACAAAAATAGAAATTATATATTTGTTTCTTAGATTTTCACGCACATCAATCATTAAATAAAACTAGTTTCAACGGTTTAGATGCCCTGATTTTATTTATTTATTGACGTTTCGCAGCCTTTTCAGGAATGAGTCGTCAGAATAATGTTTTTTTTTGATGACGTATTTTACGATAATCGTAGAAAGGGTAAATTATAAGTATATATTTTTTTCTAAATAACATAGCATTTTAATTAAATAAAGATCATGAAATTTTACATTTCATATAAAATAACTAAACACAATTTACAATAAATAAGAAACGGTGCAAGGATTTTTTTAATTTTATTTATCAAATGTTCAAAATGCGTTTCTTTCTGTATAATACAAATTGTCACTCTTTTAATAATTTCTCTGCCTGTCGATAAACTTAACTTTGCATGGTAAATGTTTGACATAACACGTTTTAGTTTATTTTGTGACTTCTGCATACTGTCTTGTCGGTTCTTGTAAACTATATCTTTCCATAATCCCACAAAAAGCCAGCCACATTGTAATTATGACCTCACAAAGAAATGCATACAAGTACCTACTCAGTTTGTGTAGGTATTGCTTTATTATATTTTCACGTACTTATAATAAGGAAATCTTGTATTATTAAGTGAGTAGGTACTAGTTAATAAATACTTTGAAATAATAATGTTAGCTGTTGGAAACACGGAAAAGTCAGAGGAAATTCGCCTGAAATAAATTTTAATTTCATGATCTTTCCCTCATTTAAAATGCTCTGTTATTAAGCAAAAAAATAATACATATGATTTACCCTTTCGACGGTTATCATATAAAATACGTTGTGTTTTTTTCACATTTCACGATATTGATTCCCGGTTGTGACAGGCGATTTAAAAAAATCTGTGAATGCAGTTCTACTTATTATTAAAAATTAAATGATGTCTTCTTTCAGTAAAAATCCTATCTGCAATATTTAATATAATTTCCATCCGTGTGACAATGCCGTGGGACGCCCTGTATAAGATATTCACATAGATTCTCATCTTAAAGACCTTGGCGTTAAAGATAACATGAGTTAAAGATAAAAATATTATACTTTTAGTGTGCCGTGCCTCAAAGGAAAAAAACGGAACCCTTATAGAATCACTTTGTTGTTTGTCTGTCCGTCTGTCTGTGTGACTATAAAGACCCTTTACTTCGGGAACGCGTGGAGGCATCGAGTTAAAACCATATACTCAAGTCTTAAGTATCTTTAAGCTATGAACAAATCAAACAACTAAGAAAATCAAACATAAGATAAATGGGTCCACGCGTTTGGTCTCTAGTGTGCCACAAAGGAACAAACATACATATATAGACAGTTAAGCACAATACCCTTTCTGCGCGTCACTCTTCATGCTGCTTGCATTAGGCAGTCGGGTTAATAAAATACGCCCGTTTATCTGTCTGTCTATCAAGACTATTTATCTCGGGAATACGTGGAGGTAATGCGTTGAAATTTAAAGGATATACTCAAGTGTATGGTCCCTTGAAGCTGTGAAAAAAACCCACTTCTAAGTTAACAGCGATTTATTTTATGTACCTATAAATTTGTACGTACCCTCGGTGAGCGAGTCCGGCTCACACTTGTATGGGTTTTGCTATCCGGAGTCTATATTATTCAAAATATTATTTATTCTAAGCACTGAAGCCTGATGCGAGAAGAAGTATAAGATTTTATATTTAGTAATAAGGTAAAGCTAAAATCATTTAGTTGATTGGAATTCATTGGAAATTGTTGGATAACTTCGCTTGTAGCACGTCTACATTCCCTACATTTAAAAAATGGGGAAATAATTTAAAATGAAACACGGCGTTCTAAAGTATTATTTTTGGAATCTCACCCATCCACCGTGAGATGCTATCCAGGAGCCAGGATTTTCATGCAGAAGATCAGCTACGGCGGCGGCAGGTGCCGCAACCAGTTCGAGGGAAGGCTCTCCATCTGCCGCCTCAGCCGCCTCTTTGGCAAGCGCACCGCATATACAAAAAACTGCTGCTATCTAAAACAAACAAAACGGAAGCTTCATCATCATCATCGGCCTATTATTGTCTCCACTGCTGGGGCACAGGCCTTCCCTATGGATGGAATAGGGAGATTGGGCCATGATCCACCACGCGGGCCCAGTGCGGATTGGCAAGTGCTAACGACTGCAGATGCAGCCGGGACCAACGGCTTAACGTGCCTTCCGAAGCACGGAGGAACTCGAGATAGAAGATTTTTGGTCACCCATCCAATGTCCGACCACTGCGAAAGTTGCTTATCTTCAACGATCGCAGCCGAACGTGCTAACTACCTGCGCTACCTTGCTCGCTTGATGGTAAGCGGCCACCATAGCCTACTGACGGTTGTGATACAAAAAATATCACTAGCCCTGTTGCCTACCCCGATCCATTCTCCTACCCCTGGACCCAAACTCACCGACAGAAACACAACACCACCAAAAGGTAGAATGTTATTTTACTGTGTCTTCTGTAAGGTGGAGGTTTCTACCCCAGACAGGCGCTCCAATTCGAACGGAAAAAATCGCTATGCCCTTCTTCTCTTATTATTATAATAACTGGGTGCATTGAGCACGAAAAGGAAACCGCACAAGACAAACATCATATTAAGTAAGTACTTAGAAAAAACCAGGAAGATGTTTTTTTATTATTGAAATATATTTAGGTACCTTCTAAGGTATTTAAAACGGGACATAATAAGACGAGCGACTAAAAAAAAAACTTCGCATCTGAAAATTAAATGCTGTTTTTCTAACTTGAGTGGTATAAATTTGAGTGAGCGATGAAATAACTAAGCCGAAGATCAATAATAAAAATATACAGACGAACAGAGAACCTTCTCCTTTTTTGAAGTCTGTTTCTGAAACTGTGGGCTGTAAAAAATCCATTTTGCACACAATAATATTACATGCGACTGAATTACTAAGTGAGCGACTCAAAATACAGAGCGGGCAACTTAAAAACACACATCAAAGAAGTCTGAGCAACTTGCATCTTATACGCAAACTACAAATTTTATCAGTGGATATTTTATATAATCGTTATGAAATGTATCATTTTCCAAAGGTTTTTTTGCTTTATTTACATATAAATCAAACTAGTTATTATTATAAAAAAATGGATGCGTGTAACTTATGTACGCGCGTGAGAAGTTATACTTCTTTAGCATCATTAAAATATTTTTTAATTGCATGCAAATAATTAATAATTACAATAAAATACTAAGAGGACTGGAAAAGGATAGTTAACACAGTCAATTAAGTTCAGTTTTAATTTGAAAAATTAAATAAATATTCAAAATATTCAATTAAAATCACCACTGAATTTAAGTTATTAGTCCATATGTAATTAGCACTTGTAAGTAACTAAAACACGTTGTGTTCTTGACCTTCACAAGTGCTTGTAACAGCCTAGACTGAATAAATGTCATTTCATTTCGTTTCGTTTCGTTTCGTTTCGTTTCGTTTCGTTTCGTTGCGTTTCGTGTCGTTTCGTTTCATTTCATTTCATTTCATTTCGTTTCGTTTCGTTTCGTTTCATTTCATTTCATTTCATTTCATTTCATTTCAATGTCCCGTTCAAATCTGCCCTGTTTGCTTTGTTCAAATCTGCCCCACGGTCACTTGGAAAATAAAATATTACAAATAACGCGCCCGCGGCTAACTTCATTATGTTCAAATTTTGTGTTAAAGTGATGAAAATTTCACTCTCATAATTTTTTCATAACGCGGCTAAAGAAGTATAACTTCAAAAATTAAGTATAAAAAATATTGAAAATCGGTTTAAAGAAAAAAAGTTCATGTTGCTTCTCTTTTGATGAGTATATTAAAATAGAGCAGTGGCGGACTAACAGGGGGGCGGAAGGGGCGGCCCGCCCCGGGCCTCCAATCTTGGGGGGCCCCCAAATGCCTCCGCGTTCTCCTGTTCAAATCCTAAACTAGACTTTAAAAATGTGCTTAGTACCAACACAATTTTATCATGATCAAAACACTACAGACATCTAGACTTTTTACGCGGTACTAATATTCTTTTTACTTCGCTGAACGCGTCCAATACGCTGGGGGAATTCCCGTCTCTGTAGCGGGTACTTCCTCAGGAATCCCTGAATGAATGAAGTACAAATAATTCACTCTTGTTCGCCTACATTTATTAACATTCACTATATTTACGTCGAAAAATAAACATTGGCCTCATTTAAAATCAGTTCAAAGTAACCTCATTAATAAGTGTAATATGTAGTGTTTTTGATTTTTGTTGCGGTATAAAAGTAAATGAGTTAAGAATTGAGTTAGTGCATTTTTAAGTATTTGGATTTTTTTTTAAATAAGTAAAATTTAGCCTAGAAATCATAATCCGTAATTTCTAGTCAATATGCACCTACGTTTCTAGTCAATATGTACCATATTGTAGGTATGTATGTTTATTTAGCCGAAATAATTTAATTGGAATTTAAATTTCATTTGGGGGGCCTCATTCAGCTTTGCCGCCCCGGGCCTCAGACGAGCTTAGTCCGCCACTGAAATAGAGACGTTTTTTTTACGTAACAAACGGCTATAAAGTTTATTTTAGACAAGAAAAATATTGAGACAATAGGTACTCTGCTCAGTTTAGTATTTTTCAAAGAGGGTTTTGTATTGGAGGCACTTTATTATGAGCGGACGCGAGCTAAGGGAAATTTGAGAAATAGCTATTTGAAAAAGCTATTGCTGTCACGCATTGGCAAATACCGTGCGATAGGGACAACAGTAGTTAACGCTAAAATTGCAAAATTCGAGGTTTTGCTCTCGACGATTTCCTCCTCGAAAATAAGATATATGTAAAAGAAATTTTACCCATAGAATAATAAGTAGTTGAACTATGCCTTTATATGTTTTGCTTTTTTTTGTAAATGCTTATTAAATCTCCACACTAGACGTCTTTAGTGGAGATAAAAAATGATTATTTTCGACATTTTTGAGGGCTTTTAGTTTCTTTGAAACACAAATTATGGAAAAAAGGAAAATATAGAACCATAGAAGTAAAATTATATTTTATGTATGAAAATCAATTCTTTAGTGATAAAAATCAAGGAGGAATCAGTCGAGAACGTATGTATGGAAAAAAATATTGCACGCCTCCCTCTTAAGATAAAATGCTGTTCACTAAAAATATATAATTTGCCAAAAATTGAAAAAAATGCAGGACATAAAGTAGTCTTTCAAACAAATATCAGGTCGCTCAAATATTATATTATAACTAGCTGACCCAGCGAACTTCGTACCGCTATAAAAATAGGGGCAGGTGGTAGAAGAGAAAATTTAGGGTTGTATGTATTTTTTTACAAATTGTAAAAAAATAAATATTGTCCAAAAAAAATTTTAGGGGTGTGTAACGTAGTGTTCTATCAATTTCTTGGGATAACATTCCTCCTAACCCATATGAGAACACTACGTTACAATACCCAATAGTTTGCAATTTGACGCGAAGGCGCATTGTAGGTTTCAGAACACTACGTTATAGGCGGACAACCATTATCACTTAAGGATATGAAAAATATATAGTAGCCGATTCTCAGACCCACGGAATATGCATATAAAATTTCATTAAAATCGGTCAGGTCGTTTTGGAGGAGTATGGTAACCAACATTGTGATACGAGAATTTTATACATAAGATGTATTATAAAAGTGAATGTTTTTAGAAGTTGTTGTAGTTGCTGTTGTATTCTTTTCTCGTCAATCGTAGTAAGTCGCTGACTTAGTAAAACAGTAAGCCAAATTCAGTATTTTTGTCCTTTTAGTTTTAATTTACAGCCACTCGTTTAAATACTACCCTTTTAAAATTATCTTAGTCCAATAACTACGAAATATTTTCTTCCTGTTTATATAAAATACTAGCTGACCCAGCGAACTTCGTACCGCCCTAAAAAAATAGGGGTTGTCCAGCGGACAAAATTGTGAATCTAAACCATTCTCAGATCCCCTTGAACACACACAAAAAATTTCATCAAAATCGGTCCAGTCGTTTAAGAGAAGTTCAGTGACATACACACTCACAGAAGAATTATATATATAAAGATAGAAATTCAAGGAAAAAATAGAAATTCACTTTAATTAGATCTAAGTGGTATCTAATTTTTTTTCTCTTCAAGTAGATGCAGTCACAGAAGATAAAATAGAACAAAGTTATAACAAAGAATAAAACCAGAAACAAAACAAGTTCTTTAAGAAACTTTGCAAGTAAATAGGTAGGAATTTTTAATTTTTGCAAAAGTTGAGCTTTTAGAAATCCCACGTGACCAGTCGATGTTTACACTTTATATAATATGCTACTTATACGAGAGAGGTTAGGGCTCCGCTCCCTATCCTTAGTGTGGGGCATCAAGAGTCCTTCGTACTATTAAGCTTGTATGCAAACAATGACTTATTGATGTCGTTCACGGTAAGTAGTAACTTTTTTATGTTCTTTAGATTCTATAATTTATCTACTGCGAATTCTGCTCAATGTTTTTAACTTAAGAACAATAAGCAGAGTTCACAGTATGCATAACATTTCTTGATAAATAAAAGCGTAAATAAATATTATCAAAGACGAACTTATTTCGTAATCGTGAAAAAAAAGCTTATACGATACATAGATTTTGATACAATTTTACCAAAATCTTAGAGGGAACGACGATTGATATGAATGTGTATAATATATAATAGCATTGAGATATATAGGTCATATTACTTACAGTATATTTAGAATATTATATTTTTATTTTATTTAAGAGGAGCTTGATGACGCCAGTGGTTAGCGCGTTCGGCTGCGGTCTGAAGTTGAGCAACTTTCGCAGTGGTCGGTCATTGGATGGATGACCAAAAATTTACTATAATAATAATAATAATAATTCATTTATTTCAGGTAACTGTGATCCATATTTGTTAGTAGACTTATTCTATGTTAGTAGTATATGTTTTAGAAATAATAGATTAGGACAGTACAACATGTTTTTTTTTTCTTTATGTCTTCATCACCCT